AATGATGTAATATATATCAATTTGAGTTACATGTTTGTAAGGCTCACTACATCTGTCCAGATTGCAGCTAAGTTATTCTATACCACCCACGTCCTCACTAGGGGGTATGGTTTCAGGAAGGAAATGGGCGCACCCCCAGAAGTGGGCACTATTTTGCCTCGTTCTCTCTCCTGGGAAGTTGTCAGCATTTGCCCTGTGGACTCTTGTCTTCTGCTTCTGCCATCCACCTCCTCCCATTTTCTCTGAGGCAAGCTACGGGACATGGTGCTGAAAGGAAAGAGGTGGAACACCGAATCAATGTGTGCTGAACAGCAGTGCTACTGGGGAGGCTGCTGGCAAGGAACAGACCAGTGGGGGCAACCCCCAGTCCAGCTAGGGGGAGCCCAGCTGACAGGAGTCAAGCCCAGTCCAGCTGAGCTGAAAGGAGTGCAGCGGAGTAGTAGGAAAGTAGAAGTGACCTATGGGACTGACCCCTAGTGTGGCGGAATGGTGGAAGCAGTGGCGCAGGCACCTGTGAGGAACTGAGCCCAGCAAAGCAACTGTAGTGAGTCAATAAAGCTAAGACGATCCCAGTTTGGAGGCAGAAACTGGAATCCTTTATTGGACATACAACTTCATATTTAAAGGGTTTACATATTTAACAGGGGGGTTACATATTTGTGCTATTAAAATTGGGGGGGGTTCCAGAGATGAGGTAAAGGGGAAAACCTAAATTACGAACTTTTGGGTCTTACAATTACATCACAGGAAAATCCCTGCTTTATCTGAGGGGATTTTACAGGGAGGATTAGGTATTGAATCTACGGGACACAAGGGATACAGAGTATAGATATGCAAAGGGGGGAACACAATGAATTTTATGCAGAGGTCTGATAACATCAGAGCACCATCTCCCTGTTTCTTGGCAGAGCATTCCAACAAATGACATCTGGTCTGGCCTTCAGAGGTTTTTCCCCAGCTTCTGTGACTCAAGGTTTTCTGTTTAAACTTAGCAATTGCTTTTCTCATATCCAAAATTTGGAATCCAACAAGCAACAGCACAACCTGACTCAGACAACCTAGCTTTTAGGGGGTCTGTTTGTCGTTGGTTTTTGTTGTCTTGGACTGGGAGTCAGGGAAACACTAGCCACAGGAGCCCCTCACCATCTTGCCTTTGTTTGCAGCAGCCACATAGTGTGGTGTGTGGGAATGATTGCCATATTGTCTTTGTGTGGGGAAGCCATGTGGGCGCAACCTACAGGGACTGTCTGTCATCTTCTTTTTGGTCTACATGGCTACATGGAATTAAATTGAGGTGGTGAACACCTCTTTTGGGGGTAAAACACCTCCTCTTTTTGTATACTTCTGTTATTAATATTGCTGTTGGTTCTTATTCCACTGCTTTTTGCTTTTGATAAATTGTTATCTCAACCCATAGTTTCTGCTTTCGCCCCTCCCTTACTGACTTATTTGGAGTTTAATTTCCTGCTTGCGTTAATCCACCACACTATCTAAACATATTAAATAAACATACTCCAGAAGGTGATGTTTTTTAATTTGCAGTGAAGATGATTTTGTTGATAGCAATGATGAAAACTCAAAGGTGTAATAAGGGGGGTTATAAATATATTAACAACAAAAAGAGGACCTGTAGGAACTGGCAGAAGAGCTTGCCAAGCCAATCTCCATCATTATTGTTGGTCATCATTAACCGGGGAGGTCACAGACAACTGGAGGTTAGCTAATGGTGTGCCTGTATGAGGTTCAGTAAGGTGAAGTGTACTTGAACCCAACAATCCCATGCAGCTCTACCAGCTGGGGGAAGAGTGGCTGGAAATTGGCCCATCAAAAAGGGACCTGGGGGTGCTAGTTGACAGCAGCTGAACGTGAGCCAGCGATGTACCTAGGTGGACAAGAAGGCCAATGGCATCCTGGCTTGCTAAAAAAATTAGTATGGCCAGAAGGACTAGGGAAGTGATTGTTGCTTTGTGCTCGGCACTGGTGAAGCCACATCTCAAATTCTGTGTCCAATTTTGGCCCACTCATGACAAGAAAGACACTGAGGTGTTGGAGTGTGTCCAGAGAAGGGCAAAATAGCTGGTGAAGGGCCTGGAGCACAAGTCTTACGAGGAATGGCTGAGGGAGCTGGGGTCGTTTAGCCTGGAGAAAAGGAGGCTCTAGGGGTACCTTGTAGCTCTCTACAACTACCTGAAAGGAGGTTGTAACAGGGCGGGGGCGGGCCTCTTCTCTCAGGCACCTAGTGCCAGAGCAAAAGGAAATGGCCTCAAGCTGCACCACAGGAGGTTCAGGTTGGACATTAGGAAGAATTTTTTCACTGAAAGGGTTATTAAACATTGGAACAGGCTGCCCAGGCAGGTGGTGGAGTCACCATCCCCAGTGGTGGTCAACAAATGACTGGGTGTGGCACTTAATGCTGTGATTTAGTTGGCATGGTAATGTTCAGTTAAAGGTTGAACTTTATCTTAGAACTCTTTTCCAACTTTAATGATTTCATGATTCTCTGATAATTGTAGAATTACAATTACAGTCAACAAACTGCAGATGACAGAGTACTTGTCAGTTTGTTTTTGCAGTCACTTTTTCAACATTCATTCTCTTTCAAATGGAGCTAAAATAGGTCATGCTGATCATGTCAAATGCTATAAATATGCTGTACCAACATTCACAAATACAAAAAGAGACAACTGTATTAGAGAAACCGGACTTTATAGTAGTCTGGTAGTGACAGACTGTTTTGAAGACTAACATTAGAAAGCTTTAAAATGGGAAGAATGTTGGTTGGAAGCACTGAAAAAGCATTTGAAGCGTAGGAAACCTGAGTTCTCTGTTTTTCTATTTGAAGCCTCTTAGGTACATTTGACAAGACTTGTTTGTTAGAGATACTGTGCTCTGAGCTTTTTCCTACTGGAGCGAAGCTAAGTAACTCTTTGTTTAGAAATACGAGTATATAAAAGAAGGCTTCATTATTCTCCCACGTACAATTTAAAATACTTTATAGTGCTAAGATACTGATTTTTATGTCCAGAGCTGATAATACAAAACTATATTCTTTTACCTCAGAATTGTGAATATTGATTCACATTATCCTTTTGGCTACCCTTTTGATGTTTCGATTAGTCTAATGATACCCACTGGAGCAGTAACTCCAGTGACATTACATTCTGTGTGAATGCAAAACAATACTTGAAATTTCCCAGCTCTCTTTTTGAAGAGCAATCCTTTTTGAAGAGATTGGAAGTACTCTGAAAAGAGTACTAATATTTAGCTAATAATTACAGCTACTGGCTGTCAGTAGGTGACAAACTCAATAGAAGTGTGGTTTCAGCAAGACTAATATCAAACAATCTTATTTTTATTTTTATTTGGGAATGTACCTTTAAATGAATGGTTTGTAAAAACTGTAGCAAAAATAATGTCATTTCAATGAAGGGAGCTAAAAGAAAAACAATGTTCCAAAAATCTTGGGAAGAAAATACAGTGTCTTAGGCAAGAAGTTCTAGTGCTCATATGCTCTTGCAAGATGATAAGAGGAATCAGAATGTATTTGTTTGAGGACAAAGTTGCTTTTTATTGTCTATGGAAAAGCTGACTGAACCTTTCTCTAAGTATAATGGAGCCCATTGAAGGATAAATGCCAATTTCTCAGATAATCTTGTGCCAAACCAGCATGTTCCATGTGCTGTAAAACACCTCAAGGTGCTGGTCCATGAGGGAGATTGTTTTGTGTTCACAGTTCTCCTTCTGCTGGCCTTGCATTAAGCTTTATTGGAGGAGGGACATGTGTAAGACCTGTAAGACGCCTGTAAGACGTGAAGCAGTGGGGGACCAATTATAAAGTGTAGAGAAACAGAAAACTATAAGTAGGAGGATATGGATAGAAGGAGATACACTGGATAAAGAACAGTAGTGGTGGATGAAATCATCAATATTTCTTCTCTGGATTGGGTAACTAATTCTAGAACCCTAATGGTCTTCTGGGTCTCTCGTGATAGAACATGGTTTCTATGTCATGACACCAACAGTTATAGGGATACTATGAAAAGTGGTGTGAAATCTGTCAGGGATGCAGTCCCTCTTCTGATTAAGGGACTGAGATCTATTTCTGTCTGTTCTACAATGAAGATAATACGTTATGCTGAGACTGGTGTCTGTGTTTGCAAGAGCTTTCTTCTGGGATTTTATGTGGAGAGAAGTGTCCTGGAGGGGGCAGTGGGAGGATACAGGGAAAAAGAGTACAACTTCTTCTCCAACTGTTCCTTAATTCTGTAGTGAAGAGATTCTGTAGGTACTATTGCTGTAACCTCTGAATATAAGGGCAAAAGGGCAGAGGGGCAAAGTGGCATAGGCAAGGACTGGAGATTATTTGGAAATGCCGATGTTGTGACAGCATCAGCATGTGATAGGTTTCGTAGTGTGTGGGTTGGAAGGCAGTGAAAACAATGCAGTATTTTTTGAGAGGTGTGCCAGAGCGGGTCAGGGAAGCTACAGGTTAATGAGGTTTATATTTCAATGAGGAGTAAGTATAGCGTGTCCCAGAAGGGTCCCCACAACCTCTAAAGAATAATTCCTTTCACATCATTTTTTCATAAATTCCTGCGTTAACTGCTTGAGATTTTTTGAGGAAGTCAGTAAAGTAATAAAAAGGTAGGTTGGGGGTTTATTTTATTCTTGTTGCCCAAAAGGTTTATGTGAAGTGCTATTATCAAGTGTTTTTAGGTAAACTAGAAAGGACAGGAGGGAAATCAGTATATATGTTAAAGAATAATAATTAAGAGTTAAGAGACGGAACACTATACAAAGATTAGACTGTTAAAATAAGCTTAATTTCCTTAAATGCAGATGTTAAGTCCACGTGTCTGACACTAAGACGGTATTTGGCACTCACCTGCAGTGCTTTTAGAACCCGTTCCTAAATCAGCATCTTCTGACTATTCCTTTTATCGTATACCATGTTCTCTTTTTTTTTCATTTTGTTTCTAATTGTTGTACTTTTCCACCAGGGGATGGGATTGCCAGGGAAAGTCGTCCATTTATTAACAGTGCAGAATTGAACAGAGGAAACACCTATGAAGGAAAGAATATGGCTCTCTTTGAGGTAAGTTAAATACCCCAGAAACATACTTAACTGTTAATTGGGACGAGCAAACACCTGTTTTCTTTGTCGTGAAATATAGTGGAGGAAAATGAATTTTAATAACTTCTTTGTAATTTGATTCCTGCTAAAATTCCATTTCAGTAGATTTGAGTGACATAACGCATTAATAGTGCGTTAATGTGAATATATGAAATAAGTCTTCTTGTGTTTAAGTTTTTTGGGCTAGAATCTAGAAGTTGTTGTTAGAGAAAGCTGTTGGAAGTTAAATCTATTAGTTTTAGCAGAACAGTATTCAGTTTTAAAAGGATTAGCAAATTAATTTGTTCAACAAGGGAATCATAGACTTATCTTAAAGCAGGAAAGGCAGAAAACAAAGTTACAGGCCATGACTGTATTTGTAATTTCTAATATAAGCATCTACTTTATAATGGAAGTTTCATACCTTTTTAATCAAATGAGTGATTGCAATCATTCATAGAAAGGAAGTACCTTTAAGGACCACTATTTCAATGAAATAGTACTTTTAGTAAAACTTAACCTAGGTTGTTCTGCTATAGCAGTATCAACTAGTCTTCCTTCGATGCTTGCTGTTAAAAATAATCAAAGTCCTTCCAGCGTTGTTTGCTTAGCCATCTTACAGTTGAATTCTTCTCAATATTTTCTTGTTGTTCTCTTACACTCATCTCTTCTCTCTGCCAAATATCTTTGCACTGAGGACATGGTCTTTCAGTTCATTCTGTGCATGACCCAAATAATGTCTATTTACTATTTTCCACTGAATCGTAGAGAAAATTGTGCTAAGGATCAAAGAAATGTTAGTCATTAATTGTGTTTTTGGCATGTATGCATGTCTTATTGGGTTTTGGCTCCTAGAATCTTGTTCTTCTCATGTTTTCAGCTGTTAGAGTTTTTATATAAACTGTTAAAAACAAGTTTGACTATTATGACCATGGTTATCATTACTTACTGTCTCAGGCAAAGGTATTTTAGTTCTTGTCTTTCTCTTTGTGATCCTGATCTCTTGTCTTCTTTCCAGTATTCAGTTTTTGTGTATTTGATTGAATTATCTGGTTCCATTTTTCTTGGAATCTTTTTATTGTATATGCTTCCTCTGGATTTTATTAATTGTTTTAGTATGTTTTTGTTTCGTAGCAGATACTTGGCTAAAGAAAGAGGGCTGACTTCTGTGTCAAGTAATACTACATATGTGGAACTGTATATGACATGCATATGTGCCCATATTTTCAACAGATGAATACTTTGGAATTCGTATGCGTGGTTTAAGATAAAATACATAAGCCTGCAGCTGCAGACTTCAGAGGTCCTTAAGCACCTCCAGAGAGGTGCTTGAGAGAATAATTTGAAATCACTCTCTAAACACAAGCAAGATGCAGGAAGAATACCCTAATGACTCAGCCCTACCAGTAGAATTTCCTAAAAACTGTATTGTGATGAGAAAAGATTTTTTAAATAAACAGTGGTCTTTCTCTAGGTTTTCCTTATATTCAAGCTGCATATTGTAAGACAGTGTAAAAAAATGAAAGAAGTGTTGCAACATAGCCATGTAGTGTTGTATTCGTGCTTAATTAGATGTTGTTACTTTGGTGTGTGTTTGGCCCAACCACTTGTGAGAGTCTGTTCTTTTCATGCCAAGTTATGAGAAAACAAGCGCTGATAAATGAGAACTTCGTCCTTGAAGGAAGCATCTTGCATAAACTAGAATTAATTGGTACCTCACTATTGGCTGATGGCCCTTCAAGGGCATTTGAAAGCGAAAGTGAGGAGGAGAGTGATGAAGTACGCCCCCAGACTCATTTAGGAAAGACCCCCCCAAGGTATAGTGCGCAGGCATGGGGAAATTCCAATGCACACATGCATGCACAGGAGAGATGCCGCTTGCATAACAGAGGGAGGGACTGAAGGCCTCTAGCTAGGCGGTGCTCGCCACACCTGCCCAGGTAGACATCACCAGTTAATTGTATAAAAAGCAGATAGCTCTGCTGGGAGTGGAACTCAAGCTTCACAATGAAGGACAACGTTGCCTTTTGCGGGGATGCCCGCCATCTTGTGAGCCTGCTGACACTATGAGGATGCAGCTTCTGCTATGGGTAATTCTAGGCATTCTGGAGTCTGTAAGAGAGCTTTGTAAGCAACACCTGAGTTAGTGGGGGAGTTAGTACTGAGGGCTTATTTCCCTCCCCTTTCCTCTCTCTCCGGTTCTTGTTTTGTTGGCCACCTCTTGGTAATAAATATTGGTTTTGTTGAGCTTTCAGCGGTGTACTGGTTTCAGTTTCAGCATCCTCCCTGCTACAAGTGTTAAACAGCTAGGAAGAATAGAAAGTTGGTTGAAAGCTGACTGGTATTTTATCATGCTAATTTTTTGGTTTGGGTGAATCAGGGTTGACCTGTGGAGTATATTTTGAAGTAGTATTATAAAATCATGACTTTTAAAAAATCCTATTTAATTAATGCAGTATTCTTAAAAACCCAACAGGAAGAAATGGATAGTAATCCCATGGTGTCATCTCTTCTGAATAAACTAGCAAACTACACTAATCTGACTCAAGGTGTGGTGGAACATGAAGCAGATGAAGACAGCAAGCGAAAGGAAGTCAAGGTATTTAAACTTCTAATAAGTTATTGGGACAAAGCTAGCCATAAAGAAGAGCATTTTTCAACCTGAAAAGAGAATATATGGATACCTAAAAACAGGAGTGAGATTAGTAATACTGTGTTTAGAACTGAAGCATTTGCAGCAGGACTTGTGTTAATTTGGTGTTCTTGTTAGCTTATTTAACAAGACGTTGCTGTAAAACCCCTAGGTAAAATGTGTGCAAAGCTAGCATCTGAAACCCAGAGTACACGCACCCTCCCCTTCCTCCCTTTCCCTCTGTTCCCCTCCCTTGCCCTTAATGTATTTGGATTGCCTAGGTTTTTACCTAGTTGAAATTAAGGCAAACCTTACAAGAAACAGGTCGCATTTTTAAATCTGTAAGCATATTTGCACCTGGTTAACATGGTAGTAGTTTTTCCAGCGGCTCTCTTGGTTTAATGTGTCAGACTAAGTATTTTTAAGACTTAGTGGATGCACTTCAAGAGCACTTTTTTTGTTGTTGCATACATCAATAATATTATATTGGTGGGGGGAAGGAAGGCATATGCTCTGTTTGGCACATTGTTAAACACACTTAATAGAAGACAGCAACTGAATTCATCAAGGGTTGTGTACTGGATGCCCAAAGTGCCTGTCTGAGCCTCTGTAGAAATGAAACATATGCAACAGTTGGAGTCTTCAATGAGATGTTGGATTGATCCCTCTGTAAGCAGGGAACTGTTTTGGAAGGAGAAAGCTTGGATAAAAAACATGACCTGACAGAGTATAAAAACTTCCAGGCAAGGAAGAATGATGAGCTGGAAGTGGTTGAGCATGGTAAATGAAACTAAGAAAATGAGGGTAGATAATGGGAAAGGGAGAGTACTAGGAGTCCTTTGTGTAGGAGAGGGTGTGCTGCTACTGAATTTGTATGCTGAGCTATTGAGAAAGGAGGAGAAGCACCTAAGAATGAGTAAAGGAAATGAGCACATAGCAGAAGAAACAGAGTTGAAAAGGTGCTTGAAAGTAAGCTTAAAAGTGCAGCTTATTTGACTGGAAGGGAGATTTTGAGTGGAAGTTGGTACCAGGACAACGGGCAAGGGTGAGGAATAAAGTCCAGCTGTTTGGTTTAGCTTTTTGCTTATCCTGCATTTGTTCATATGTGGACTTTCTTTTTGTTTGTCTAGTTGTGCTTAATCTATATTTGTTTCACCTCATCTGAAGATACAACTTCAGATGTGAGAAAACCAAAACTGATCAGCTCACACTTTCCTTCGTGTGATCCCTGTTGTCTGCTTAGCTTCTGAGCAGAGTTTTTTCTCAATGCATAACCATATTAGTCCCTCTGGAGCTGACCAGTCAAATGAACTTCATCTCCTCCCTTGCCCTTCGTCTTGTTTAACACCATCTGGTGGCCTGCTAACACAATTTTTATGCACATGTCTTAGTTTCATTTCCAAAATTAAATTGTAGTTAAGTAGTACCTTGGCAGGGTAGCATTTTTTATGGCAAGACTGAGACAGTGGTGTTGATGTTTCAGATGGATATTGCCCAAGTGCTAAAAATCTATCTAGAAACCTGTATATAACTGTTGCTTCTAACTAGAGTATTTCAAAGGCTGATTTCTTCATACATGTAGACGACGAAACTTCTACACACATCTTTTGTGTGTGTCTTGATCCCTGATGATCACCAGCAAATAAAAAGTACAAATGTGTTATGTTGTAGCAGGTTTTACAACTTTTGCAAAACCAAATTGTAATCAGCTCTGCATTTCTTCTGTCTCTGTCTTAATACTTTGTCTTTTGTAAAAATGGAAAATACTTGATGTTGAATATAATTTTTTTGCTCAAGCTGCATGGCAATTTGTGATCAGCTTTTTGCATAACATATTTGGTATTTTGATTTGTGGCAGTAACTTATCTTCAACAGTAGCCTGTAAGAGGTATTTCAGAAGAAAGTTTGTAAAGCATTGCAATCAACAGATAAAGGGGCATCCTACTCCTGTCAAGGTTTCCTATGGAACAAGAGAGTTTGCTATCACAAATACTTTTCTGTCTTCTCAGGAATTTTTCTGCATCAATAGCCTATGAATATTTGCAAAGCTGGATGCTCTGAAGTTACCATTCAGTGTCACTTGGTATTTCTTCATGGAGCATTTGTGATAAGAGTTTGTGGAATAAAGTGCTTAGGAATCAGTGCAAAGGAATTCATGTTCTCACTTCATTTCCAGGGTCCACGGATGGGCACTTTTATTGGTGTGTATCTTCCCTGCTTGCAAAACATCTTGGGAGTCATCCTTTTCTTACGTTTAACATGGATTGTGGGAACAGCTGGAGTTCTTGAGTCTTTCATCATCGTGTTCATGTGTTGTGCTTGTGTAAGTTCACCTTTTTTTCTTTTTTTTAAACTGTTAGCCAAATCCTCTATTACAAGAGTACTGATGCCTTCTAATATATGAGTATCAGAGAAAGAAAACCATATTTAAATATATTGGTTAAATTTCACTGATATTTAACCACTGTGGTTAAATTGAGAGAGATGGGTTACATATATTAAGGCAGTGAGTGTCACGTGTCATTCTACCCTGTATGAAGTTTCTTTTGATTTGATTACAGTAAGCTTTTGTCTGAAGTATTATATGGATTTTATTAAATTGGCATTTAGCAAATATTTCACTGTTTACTTTGAGATCTGAACCGATCTGCTTTTCACAACTTTAGAATGAACTGAAATATAAACTACAAATTGAACCACAACATTATGTCCATGAAGTAGTATTTTAGAGCGAGACCACTAGCAGATGTTGTCATAACAATGATATGATCAGTTTGTCACTACTATTTTGATTGAAATAACATACTGTTTTGTATGTTCAGTGGTATATATTCTTCCAGTTCTTTTTAAAGACTGTCTCAAACATCTAAATTAACTGAATCTTCTACAGAAAAATTTAGTACTTAATTAACATGGATATTCCAAACCAAATATATGGTAACAGTAACATCTTATTTAAAAAAATAAATTTCTAATTTCATTTGATCACTTTGTCTTGCCCCATCTTTCAAAAAAAAACCCAAATAAAAAACCCCCACAAACAAAAAAACCTCCTCTAGTATTTTAAATTTCCTCTGTTTCATCTTCCCACAGACTATGTTAACTGCCATTTCAATGAGTGCGATAGCAACAAATGGTGTAGTCCCAGGTAATGAATTTTATCTTAGATGGTGAATGGTCAAATGATGAAAGTTTAAAGCTGGGATAAGAAATTTTTGTAGTCTCAAATATCAGAAGTAATGATTTTGTGTCAAGTGCATATTTTCTTTTAATTGATTTTATAAACAGCTTTTTAATGTGAGATGCAGTCTTTTAACTGGATTGTTTGGGAATAATGAACTGCAGCACATCTTTGTCATCGATCATTTGATTCTGTTTTAATGGAAGATAAGATGTAATTTGAATGAATGGAGACTGGTCTTCATGCAAAACAAATTTCTTTATAAATTTACAAATAAGGCTAGTGCTTCTTTTTTCTATCTTGAATTTGCCTAGATTCCATCTAAACACTGGAGATAGTTATCTTGTTTTCTGCAAGAATAGCAACTAGTCTGCTGGCAGAAATATTTTTCTATATAAGCACTGTAGGTTCTGCTCATCTCCTTACATGTTCAACATAAATAGATGAATTTGTTTGGTTTTATAATTATAGAGGATTTTTTTTAGATGCAAAAGCAGTTAACCCTTGAAACTCTTATCCTTTTCAGTTTCTCAACACGTTAATTGATAATTCTGACATTCAGATGTTGTTTTGAACTCTGAACAGTTTAATTAATGAACTTAAAATAGTTCCTCACAGAGGTTCTGCAGCTTAGTAAGGGGTTTCAGAACTGTTAGATAAGTTGTTGGGCAAAAGTAAATGTTCCAGTTTGTGCAGGATGTAGAATAATTGTATTATAATTGTATTTCATGGATACAGTACCATATATGAAATAAAAATACAATAGAAAATTTTGTTTTAAATACTTGTATTTTATAAAGAAATTTATTCAAATGAGTGTCTAGATAACTAAAATGTTCTGCTCTTGTCCCCCTCATATTTTTAAAGTTCATTGTAAAGGTTTTGTTTGACATCTGAGTGTCACAGAAATCTTTGAAACTGGCAGTTCTTACACTAGACAGGTCTTCATTTTCACTTTTTTGTTGTTGGTGCCAGTTTCTTAGAGAAATTATGCTTGTGCTGGAATATATGGAGAAGGCAGAAAGATAAGAACCTAGGACTGAAGGAGACTTGAGCAGCAGGATCTTTTCTTTTGTCACATTGTATGTGACAGCATTATATTTAGTAAAAGTATTGGGGATGAATAATAATTTCTTTGTTAGTTTCTCATTTGTTCATATTGAAAAGATTGAAGCCTGTGCAACAGAGTACCCAAGGAAGTGTTGGAATCTCCATCCTTGGAAGTGTTCAAAAAACACGAAGATATGGTGATTAGGAACATGGTTTATTGGTGGACCTGGCAGTGTTAGGTTAATGGTTGGATTTGATGATCTTGGAGGTCTTTTCCAACCTTAAAGATTCTATGAGAAACAGCTTCAGACTTCACATTGACATATGTATATTTAAAATTAAGCACTTCCTTTCTCTGTCTCCTCTTGCTTCCTCATAACCTTGTTATGAGTGGGAAAATATTAATTCAGGAGTAGATGGAGAGGGAATGAGAGAGAAGAGTTTGCCTTGAGGGGGTTGGGTGAAATTCTCAATAGAGATATTAAGAGCTTGAAACTTAAAACCTTATTGAAAGGGAAATGGTATGTTGGAAATGGAGGTGGTGGTGGTGTAGTTTATGACTTAGAGAAAGATGATACATGTGTATGGGAAGTAAGAGTGAGAAGAATTGAAAAATTCATGCTCAAAGTGAATAGTATATGAGTACACAAGAAAAAGTAATCCCTAGCTAACACTTTTAAATGTTACTGAAAAAAATGCCTGTAGTGAAAGTGGTAATGGTTTCATATACAGAAAATAAAAAGAATGAAAAGAATGTATATCAGTGAGGAAAAAAATCTAGTTTGTCCCTATCTCATAAAGCAATGGTTTTGGAAATCTGTTGTTTGGTGGGGAACAGCTTGAGGTTAGAAATTGATTCACATCTATTTATACCTCTATATCCTTTTCTAATTTACTTCTGTTTAGCTTGTGTAAATTTTTTCTCTTTTTTTGTTGGGCTTTACTTTCTGTTCCCCAGAAAATGCACATGGGGATATTAATCTTGAAATGTACATTCTAACTGTCTCGTTGGTATAGACATTAACTACAGTTTTGGTATTAACATGTCAATGGAGACACATGCAATGGTTATCTTGATTATGTTGATTGAATGATTCAGATTTTTGTTCTCTACTGCCATCCTTAACCTGAAGGCCTGGAGGTTTTTTGTTTGGTTGGTTTCTTATTAAATTCACAGCTGGAGGCTCTTACTACATGATTTCAAGATCTTTAGGGCCAGAGTTTGGTGGAGCAGTGGGACTTTGTTTCTATTTGGGCACAACCTTTGCAGGAGCAATGTACATTCTTGGTACCATCGAAATTTTATTGGTGAGTACTAGTTTCTCTTAAGACTAAATGTATTTGGGCTGCTTAGGGAGATTGCTGATGAATTTACTTGGCCTAGAATGCATTCTAGTTTGGTGATTGTTAATGTTTTGATACTACATTTTCAGTATGTTGATATTTTTTCTTACTCATGACTATTTGAAAAAGGTAGATTCTTATCAATAATACAAAAATAAATTAAAAGTTGTTTGATGTAAGTTTTTTCTACTTAAAGTAGGAATCAAATAGAACTCCTTCCATATGAAAGTCTGTGAACCTGGATCAGACAAGCATTCCCAGGGTAACTCACAGAAACTGTTCAGCTTCTACTGTGCTTTGCACTCCCTATGCACTGGCTACTGCCCAATGAAAAGTTGTGAAGAACATGAAGGTCGTATCACCTGTGAGGCAGGAATTAAGAATGTGTCCCAATTTCTCCTTTCCAAACTGCTGGCTTTGAATTTTCATATATTTGTAAAGATGCTGTGGAAGACTGCCTGTATGGCAGTGGTGCAGCTACTGTGACTGTGCATCATCCAGGAGGGGCCAAACAGTTATTGTTCATCATATCAGAAACTGCAGATATGCACAAGAGGTACTTCGGAATTGCTCCTTGTTGCTTACTAAGATCCATGTCATCAAATCCAGACTTTCTTGAATTTAAATTAGAGACAGTCCTCACTACTGCTTGCTTGGGCAATCTGATCTATAGTAGCAACACCAGCACCATGTTAAATTGTGAGTTGAATTTGGTGCGCTGTTCTCCCTATTAAAGTGTCATGCCGGGTATGTGTTGCTAATAAGTATGTATGGGGTTTAGCTATGCAATTTGAAGTAAAATGCTGCCCAAGATATCTGACAAAGACTGCAAAACAGACCTCTATCATACCTGCAAGGCACAAGTATTGCTTTCTTTTTTTTCCTCTGATGGGACGTGGATTATTTGGAGGGACAGGAATCAGTCATCTGCCTGTGGTTTTCCCTAGCAAAGGCTGTGAACAGCAGGGCAACAAAGTACACAAGAAAATCTTACTGGAGTACTGGCATACAGAGCCTGATACTTCTGCAACGTTGCAATGCAGAGTTTTCTAACAATATATAAATATTCTACCTGTAATTAGTTTTTCAGTTTGCTTTTTTTTCTTCCATGGTGATGTGACAATTGTCATCTCTCCTAGCACTCTAGTAAATATTGATGTACTAAATTTAATTTAAGAAAACTCTAGCGAAGAATCCTCCATGTCTGTTTTTGGATTTTGCTTCTGGACATATGAGAGTAGCCTCCTGCTCAAAGTTTCTTCCTTTCTTCATTTCTTCTTCATTTAGGAGTTAAATTATGTAAGGATAGCCAGTTTAGTAGTTGTTTTGAAGGACTGAGTTGCCTCAAGCCCCAATACTCCCCTAGTAGCTGAGCAGAGAGGATTTTTTTAGAGATGCTAGAAGAAGGAATAAAGATGTTGCTATCATGTAGTGTAGTACACAAATGTCTTAGAAGTATAGATCAATTAGTTTTCTCAATTGCATTTATCAGCGTAAGTCCTATGAGCTGTACTTTTAACTTCTTTTCATGTAGAACCCAGAACTAAATTGTATGAAATTGAGATCTGTAGATCTCAATTGAGATCTATGCTTTCATGTTTGAAATTGCAACAGTTCAAATTGCTGTTTTAGCACAGGACTAAGCTTTGTCATGCTAATCTTAATTTGTGCTGTTGCAATTTCAGATTCAAATTTTATGAAATGTAGTGTAGGATCTGTAATACTGAAAACATTTTCAGTTTTTTATTATGCTATATTATTTGATTCTTCGTATTGTGTTTCAGTCAGTGGAATTATTAAGCATATATCTGGTTTGAGCTATTTTATGGGTTTGGGTTTTTTCTTTTAATTTTTGTTATGTGCTCCTTCTTTTCCCCCCAGATTTCTTAGCAGTTTTTCCTGTCTGGCTGACACATGAGTTTGAGGAGTGGAAACTCTTTAAGGGGAGAGAAGAAGCTGGAGCAAAAACTGTATCTTATTCTCAAAACTTGTTTTCCTTCATTCTCACCTCCCCCTTCCTTTTACCTCTACACTTTCTAAATGACCATGTTATCTGGTTGAACACATTTGTGAAAGCATAAAACTAATACAGAAGGTTAGATTTTGTAGTTCAAGTAAATGATTTCTTAATAAAATATTTGTTATTACATGTGTGATAGTTTGTCATATCTCTTGCAGACCTACATTTCTCCAAGTGCTGCTATATTTAAAGCAGAAGAGGTTGGTGAAGAAACAGAGGCTATGCTAAACAACATGAGAGTTTATGGAACATGTATTATCATTCTTATGGCCATAGTAGTTTTTGTGGGAGTAAAGTATGTCAACAAACTTGCTCTGGTCTTTCTTGCCTGTGTGATTCTTTCCATCATTGCCATATATGCTGGAGTTATTAAGACTGCTTTTGACCCACCCGACTTTCCGTAAGTGCAATATTTAAGTTGTGTGGGTTATTTAAAAGAAAAAAAAAAAGTGTGGGGAGGGAATAGTTACTGTAACCATTTCATGTTTTAAGCTAAGCTTCAAAATACAAGGGCACTGGCTTCAATGGTAGGTTTAAGGGGTTTAGGCACTGATGTGCTTATTTGTTATTCTGAGTTACATATCTGAATCTTTCTCTCATTTTTCATAAGATGTGATACTCTAGAAAATGTTCTTTTGTGCTTAAAATTACTAGCTGTTATTCCACCCTCACCTAAAGAATAAAAAGGTGGGTTTTACTGACAGTAAATATAACTGCTTTATCTAAATTAAAAACTTATGGAATAAAGTAAAAACTTCAAGAAAACATATTAGCTATGAACCAGAGTTATGAAGGAAACATACTTTCAAACTTTCTGTGTTATGAGGAAATTTTTGAAACTTCCATTTTTCCCTTCCTAAAATTGAGACATTGCAGTGTTAAATTCACTTGTGTTTGTGAAGGCTTTCTTGTTAATAAAATAAAATTTTATTGTTGTCACACATGATATTGCTTCTCAACACCTTCAATTTGTTCAACTCCTTAGCTAAGAGTTATTGCTTTACTCCAGTTATCAGTATGTGAGTTACATTTTTGTGCATCTTTTTCTGTTTAAAGAGAAAACAAGATTATATTACTTGAAACACTAGTGGAATAGGCTGATAACTTCAGTCCTGCATGGCACTTCATAACAAGAGTTATCCTTTGCTGTATGATTGTTACAGATTTTATAGTACTTTGAAGTGTGGGTAATTGTATTACAAATTGAGCATTACTGTTTTGTAACATGATACTGTCCTCAATTGAAAAAATAAGTGTGATCAAAAATTCTGACATATATCTGGATTAACCTTGAGTTTCTTACCAGCTGTAACTTCCAGTGGGGAAATAGTTAAATCTTTTAATCACCTATAGAAGTAAAAGAGAGTTTATCTGGATATGTAGCATGGGTAAGACTGATTATCAAGTTCCTGGAAACCTTGTATGAGGCTGCTACTGTGATATACTATTGTATGGGGTGAAAAAATATAAAGAAAGGTTTTTTCCCAGTAAATATAATTGTTTACGCTTACAGTCTGCCTCAAAATTAGAAACTCAAGTGCGGTTTTAATTTATGATAAGGCTGATCTGATGATGAACTGGTCATCAAAAAACCCAACTTCCACTTAGCTGGTTAGTTAGGTTAATATCACCAACTTCCATTAAGTTTGGCCATTGTATAGGTGGTAAAATAGTTTACTTCATGATCTCTCAGTTGAATCAAACTGAAAGAAGTTTCCATTGTTTGAATCAATTGACCTTGCTTCTATAGGGTCACCAAAACTAATAACAATTAAAAAGAAAAATGAGCAAGACAAGTGGCAAGATGATCTCTTTAGCAACAGCTTTCTGTTGAACCTGTTTAACTTACATGTGATGCCATACCTTGAAGCTGTACTGGTGTCCTGTACTCCTCCTATGGCATCTACTTTTAATTGCACACAGAAACAGACTATTGCACTAGGGCAGTATTCTACTTGACTTCATATACTTGTTCTAATGCCAAGTGGTATGTTTTTACTGTTTGTTATCAACTTCTTAACTGAGCTCCTTCAGAAATATAACATGGGTTCTATCTGATTTTTGACTTATCTGCCTAACCCACATGGGATTTTTTTTATATTCCTTCTTTTGTCTTCAGATATATATATATATATATATATATCATTTGAGTATTAAGCAAAACTGGAATAGAGATCTCCTAAACATCTTTTGTGTAGTTTAGCAAAGAAATATTCCATGATACTTAATATTTTTTGCTGGTAGGAATTTGCACTCCCATCAATGTTTTTAAATTTTGCTATTTAACTTTCCTGGCTTATTTCCTACCTTTTGGATTGTAATATTTTCAAGGATCATCTAAAGTTTTTATTTGCTAGAAAAGGGAATGATGTACTTGCCTAATATTACTTTCGTATTTTCTTGGTTAGACTCATCTTTATATAAAGTATTCCTTAATTTCCCTGATTTCTTGTAGGACTAAATGAATCATTATCTCTGTTATCTAGTCAAGCTGCTTAAATTGATTATGTTTTCTAAAGAATAAATCAGAAAGCAAAATAGCTATTAATACCTTAAAGCTGAAATATTTGATCCATGTTTTAAAGGCTATTGATGAAGGTTATACATTTAGATGTAGAAACTATATACTGTTTTAGCAGATGTAGTACGAGTCTTAGATACTGTGAATAATAGGTTTCTGAAGAAGTCTGAAAGACATAAAATGCTTTAATGCACACCCTATATTAAAGGATCACTGATTTTTTTTTTCTTGTTTGTAGGATCTGTCTCCTTGGAAACCGTACATTATCAAAACGCAGCTTTGATGTCTGTGCCAAATTTACTGAAAGCAATAATGAAACAAAGACTACACCTTTGTGGCGCCTCTTCTGTGATAGCTCATTGCTTAATGCTACATGTGATGACTACTTTCGTCTCAATAATGTAACAGAAATTCAAGGGATTCCAGGAATAATGAGTGGAGTTCTAACTGGTAAGTTGGAAAGCACAGTGATTTAAAAATTTTTGGATGTTATTAATTTGGCTGATAGCTGGTTAGTATTGTAGTGATCTAACCTGTCACTACTATTTTACCTCTAATCTGTTGCTGTGAAAGATTGCTACCTTGAGCATGCTTCTTCCTATAAAATTTTCATCTGGTTTTAGAAACTTAATATCAAGTGCTTTAATTTGGGGGTCATTGGAGTTTTTTAGGCACACTTTCAAAAACCACTGTTCAATCAAAAAGAAAAAGGTAGTAAAGTGCTTATCACAGCTATTTTTTTGAAGTGTTTGGCTCCTTTGTATGCCAGATACACATTTCAGTAAGCCATTCATTAATACATTTTCAAACTCTCCTGAGGGAGAACTTGTTTCCAATTTACAGCTAGTGCAATGAGGAATGAAGTCCAGTGGCCTGTCCAATGTGTACAGCAAGTTAGTGATTGATTTAGAGAAAAGCAGCCTACAAAGTGTATAGATTTTTCTTCTGTTTACATTTTTGTCCAGTTGTGACAGCTTGGCATTCCAATTGCACAGTCATGAGATTCATGTAAGAGATTCTACTGTACACGCACAAGGATGTTTTGATACCTCTCCTCTGCTTTCTCTTAAAATAAGGTTTGATTTATATAAATATGCAATGGTACCTACACAGGGACACGAGGCAATCACTACTGCCATAGTAATTCAGTTTAAAATACCAAATATAAAGTATATAGTAAATGAAACATAGGCTTCTCTGAATGTAAATTTGTGTGTTTAAAAAAAGATAATGAAAAATGAAATTATTTCTGATTTGAAATGTTTCTTACAAGAAATGTGACTTAGAGTTTGTTCTGTGCATTTTACAATTTACCATAAGAAGAAAGGTATTAAATCAGATTGCTCAAACTATCGTGGTATTACTCTGCTTTCCATTGCTGGCAAAATCCTGGCAAGAATACTCTTGAACAAATACCCACTATAGCAGAAGGTATCCTTCCTGAAAGTCAGTGTGGTTTCAGAGCCAACAGGAGCACCACAGACATGGTATTTGTCCTCAGACAACTACAAGAGAAGTGTAGGGAACAGAACAAAGGTCTCTATGTAACCTTTGTTGACCTCACCAAGGCTTTTGATACTGTGAACAGAAAAGGTCTGTGGCAGATTTTGGAACGTTTAGGTTGTCCCCCTAAGTGCTGTAAAATGATCGTCTCACTCCATGAGGATCAGCACGGCCAAGTCAGATATGGTGATGCACTTTCTGAGCCCTTTTTAATTAAGAATGGTGTGAAACAAGGCTGCGTTCTCGCTCCTACCCTATTCACCGTCTTCTTTAGCATGATGCTCCAAAGGGCCACAGCAGACCTCGATGGTCAGGACAGTATCTACATTCGATACCGTACTGATGGAAGTCTATTCAATCTAAGGCGACTGAAGGCCCACACCAAGACCTTAAACCATCTTGTCCGGGAGCTGCTTTATGCTGATGACGCCACCCTTGTTGCCCACACAGAAGCAGCCCTGCAGCGTTTAACATCCTACTTTGCAGATGCTGCTGAGCTCTTTGGACTGGAAGTCAGCTTAAAGAAGACAGAGGTCCTCCATCAACCTGCACCTCAGGAAGTCTTCCATCATCCCCACATCACCATTGGCCAGTTGGAACTCAAATCAGTCCAACAGTTTAATTACCTCAGTAGCCTCATCTCAGATGGTAAGATCGACAGAGAGATAGACAACAGATTAGCAAAGGCATATAGTGCTTTTGGAAAACTCCACAAAAGAGTATGGCATAAGAAACACTTGAAGAAAAGCACCAAGATCAGTGTTTACAAAGCCATAGTGTTGTCGACTCTCTTATATGGCTCCGAATCATGGGTCATCTACCGCCACCACCTGCGTCTCCTAGAACGCTTCCATCAATGCTGCCTCCGTACAATCCTAAACATCCACTGGTCAGACTATGTGACCAACACATCTGTTCTAGAGCAAGCAACTGTCACAAGTATTGAGGCCATGTTGATGAGAACACAGCTGCGATGGGCAGGGCATGTCTCAAGGATGAAGGACCACCGCCTCCCTAAGATCTTGCTTTATGGTGAACTTGCCACTGGCTGCTGCATGAGAGGAGCCCCGAAGAAAAGATACAAGGACTCCCTGAAACAACATCTCAGCCTTGGCCATATTGATCACCATAACTGGTCTACTCTGGCCTCCAGTCGGGAGGCCTGGAGACACACCATCTATAACGCAGCTGTCTCCTTCGAGAACACACGCAGGATCACTCTCGAGGAAAAAAGGCAATGCAGAAAGAACCGTGTATTGCAGAATACACCATTTAAGGAGTCTTTCTGCTATGCCTTTTGCAATCAGATATGTCTGTTACGTATTGGCCTCATAAGCCACCAGCGTACCTGTAGCAAATGTGGATAGAGCCTTCCCAAATCTTTGTTTGCGAAGCCCAGCCATGACATGCATATCTACAGTTTTTCCTAAATATTTTTGTATTTCCTCCTCCAGCTCAGAAGACAACTATATGTTCTTTTTTTTTTTTTCTGCTACCCTGTAAGATTTAAACTACTCTTTTGCTTTTGGAGGTTTCAGGCTGAGCACTGATTTTTCTTGTTTTGGAAAAATGTGCTTTTGTTCTGTTCATTGTTTTGTTCACTGTGTAATATTTACTTGAACTAGCAATCCTGTATAAAAGTACATTTTGCTAATTTACTCTCACGTGATGCTAAGATCTCTAAAGACCATTAGGAGTCTGCTGAAAGCTCAGTGTGAGGGATATGCTTTCCAGTGTTTGTTACTTGTTGGTTAGCTGTAGTGAATTTCATCAATTGCATTATGTTTATTTACTGAGTCTAATATGATTTTTTTCTAGTTCTTTGCAGTTGGTTTTGCTTCTACAACTTTGATTTAACTGAGTATTGCCAGTAAGCTTTCTCATCTTGCTACTAGCTCACTTTTTTAGGCTGTTTGAGTGTACTGGATAGCACTGGTTAAATACTGCTGCTCATCCTTATAGAAGCTTACTGGTGGCTCTTCTGCATTACAAAACTACTTACATTTACTTTTACCTGTTGTTTTCTGTCTTTGAACCGTTTTATCCATGTGAGGAGTTTTCCTCTTATACCACGGCTACTGTAGGTTCCTTGGGTGAGGAATATTTGAAAAACATAGGAAATACAGGTGGACTGATTTAAGTGGATCACCCTCATTTAAATTTCCCTCAAGGAATTTGAATACTTCTGACAATTTTCTTTTACAAAAGCCAAGTTGAGGCTTCCCCAGTTCCTCAAAACTCAAGAAAATAGCTGCTTTTTTTTTTTTTCAGAACTCAAAGATAACACCCATATGTTTACTGTCTCTTATCAATTGCTGTTGTTGCTATGTTCATGATGTTCATGCTACTTCTGAGTCTTTAGTTTCTATGTCTCTCTGAAACCCTTTTAAATAAAAAAGTTTGCGTTACGTTTGTCCTTGAGTAGCAGTACGATTTCATGTCAACCTCAGGTCTTTCAGTATTCTTGGAGGTTTCAGGCTGAGTACTGATTATTCTACTTTTAGAAATACATGCTCTGCTTCTATTCACTGAGTAACATTTCTTTGAACAAGAACCACTCTAACAATGCATTTCACTATCCTAGTGTCATATAATGCTAGAACTTAGGTGTCCTCCTTGCTGAGTGTGAGCACAAATTCTGATACCTAGCATAAGTTTGAGCTTGACTTGCAAAGATTTCTCAGGGAGGGTTTTCCTCCACTCAGTGTCTGTTCTGCATTGTAGGTAGACTTTGGAGCTGCTCTGCACATTAAAGATTCTTGAGCTGTGAGTGCGAATACTCAGATACCATGACTGGGTGTCCCAGGAAGTGTGTGTTGAGTCCTCACACTATTTATTGGGCATTCATATACAGAAAGTCTAAATCTCTTATACACCTTCTTTGAATGTTATCCTAACAATAATAAATCATTCTACAAATGGCTGAACAAATATGTCTGTAATCCTAACAGTAATGATAGAATTTCCAAATTGCTTTAATCAATGTTATTCTGCTTCATGGTAGCATGCTGGTCTGATGCATTGTGTGTGTGTCCTAAATGTTGCTAGAGGAGCCTCAGCAATCCATGAATGGTCCTAGAGGTGACAAATGTCTGGACTCTTCTGAAAAGTGATTCTTTTTTCTCACCCTAACTTCCAAGTCCCCTTGGATTATCACTTGTGGGAAAATGAGTATAGAAAAGCTCTATGTGACATGTTATGAAATGGGAAAGTGATTTCTATTTAACAAAATATCTAAGCTAATTTTTCCCACTCATGCTGGCACGAACAGTTCCACAATTGAGTTGTGTGTGTTGGAGTGGTCAGGCCATTGTCAGTCCAGTGTCATACTAAATAAAGGACACAAACTGTTGAGTCCTTGTTAAATATTTAAGTGGTTTTGATTGGCAATTACAAACTGATTTTTGGACTTTCCTTTATGCTCCACAGGAAGTAGATGCTAATTTGGAGATCTTGACTTATTTTACATCAGTCCTCAAATCTTTGTGAAAATTCCTGAAATTTACAATTCTCTTGTTTCCTTAACTCTTCTAATGGCTTCAGTCTTATCTCTAGATGGATTTATTACTTCTCTTCATTTGATTGAACTAACACACATATTCTGTAGCAATTAATACTTAATTTTAATCTTTATTCTGCTGTCTCTTACAATTCTCATGCGTTCTTCCGTATATGCCTACCAATTGTAAGATTTCTGTTATGAATCTGGATATGTGTATCCTCTCTTTGGTAACTTATGGTTCAAAGTCAGTCTCATATTATGCTCAAGGTAACTTTTTTGCTATTTTGGAGGCTTAGAATACTGTGCTTAAATTCCCTAAAATTGTACAGAATGGCTAAAAATTGGCTATTTGATCATCCTGGCAGTCCATGGAAATTGTTTATTTCCATGCTGTAAAATCCTTTGTGTTCTTGACAGGGTGGGAGAGCATCTACTTTGTTTCCTCACATGTGATAGGATAACTTGTCTTATTTTAAAATAGGAGTCAGTGTTGGATATTCTTACAGTCTTGTCAAGGAGCACAACCAGTGTTCCCACAAATGTAAACTCTCTCAAGTTGCTGGTTCTTTGACCCTCAGTTGCCTTCAAACAAACATCCTTAGTTTGCTGGGGAATTTAAACCACATTCTGCTGGGGTTTTGTGGTGGTTTCACCCCCCACCCCTCTTCCCTGGGGGGACTGGAAGTAGTTGATCCCAGGTGCGTTTCCGATGTGGGGCCAATCAGAGCTGCGTTTCACCCCTATGAAATTAGCATATTACAACAGCCGGAGGAAGTTGTTGGCAGAAAGGATCGAAGCCACGAGGGGTGGCCAGGGGCCCCCAAACCCAGGGGGCCCCTGGGCCTCCACGGCCTTAGTCCAGCCAGGGCTGGGGTGGTTTCTTCACTGTTTCCCCCCACTGTGAGTGGGGGGAGCAACAATCGTGAAGCAGAGCTGGAAGAATTCCAGGCAGAGGAGAGAAAACTTCAAGCAGTCTCGCTGCCACCTCCCCCACAATGGCGGGGGAGGAGGCGACCTGGAGCTGAGACTGAAACATGGAGATGGGCCGAGGGGCTCGGAAGTGCCCTATGTTAGGTTTGGACGAGGACAGCCAAAAAACCGAAGGACAAGGAATGTGGGGGAAGAATGCCTCCTTGTGACACATGGAAGCTGAGCTGATCTAGCAGCTGAGACATAGAGAAGCCAAACCAAGCAGGCTTTTTCTGGGTAAGGACTTTTGATGAAAACTATTTGGGGAATAAAAAACTGAGCAAAAACCCAGAAAATCCTGCAACCTGGGGAGGAAGAGTGAACTCGAAGTGGAGAAGTCCCTGAATCTTACTTCCAGGAGGAACCTTCACAAACCAGGGGAAAGGACTCAAAAGCTGACTCCCTGTAACTCGTGATGAAGACCTGGTGCAGCAAGTGTTCCCTTGCAGTCCAGGAGGAGACCTTGGCAGAGACCGAGGAGCTGGTGGGGGTGCAAAAGACCCCTTCCCTGATACCCCAGTGAGAGAGACTTTAACTGTCGCCCTGAAGGTTTTTCTTCTGAACTGATGTGGGAGGACCCCCCAGGAGTGGTAAAAGTTGTATTAATAATGTGTGTTTATTTGCTTTTTAGTTTCTATAGTTTTTATTCTGTTAGTAATAAATTTTGATATAATTTCCCCATGCTGAGTTTTGCCTGTCTGAAACCTTCTCTCCCTTACATTGAGGCAAATTGTGGGGAAGCTTGGAAATTGGATTTTTTGGGGGAAACTCCCACAGGTTTTTTTGCTTATCAGTGATTTTCTGAAGTCTGGTTACTCTGCTTTTGTCACCATGTGGAAATCCTTCACCATGAACAGCTGAATGCTGAAGTGTTGTCCAAGATTATTCTGTATGGCAGGTCTCAAAGAACTCAAGTTACTGTTAACTAGCATTTCTTCTTTGTACTGGTCCTCAAAATACAAGAACAAGAAATATTAATGTATGCTAAGATTACCTGAACCTGGAGATAATTTCCTTATCTTTTCACAATACATCATGATAATACATCCATATGCCTGTGCAATGTAAGTGGACATTCTACAAATATATTAGCATTTAATTTTCTAACTAAATTTTTCTTTAAGGGAAGAGAAAATTTTATATGATGCATCTCATACACTACTGCATTTTTACTGGCTTACAGTGGGAATATCCACCCCTTAAAGTTGGTATTAATCATATTGGGAAACATGATTTTTGTGTAAGAAAAGGCATCTGATTAATAAGATTATTTCATTCTCACTACTTGATATCCTGAAACAGTGAGATGACACTGACTTTTGTTTTTCCCCTCCCTTGTAGATAATCTCTGGAGTACCTATTCAGAAAAAGGATCAATAGTTGAGAAAAAAGACCAACCGTCCATTGCCGGATCAGAAGAGACAAAAATGGGTGGACTCCCTTATGTTTTTACAGACATCATGACCTACTTCACAATGCTAGTCGGGATTTATTTCCCATCTGTGACAGGTAGATACAACTATTTTTCTTGAGCGAGGATCTGTACTTACAGCTGGAAGAAGAATACTTTTCACACGTGTGACTGTTTATTGGGTACACATGATGTTGCTAGTCTGTGTGTCTGAGGTTATGTACCTGAAACCTTCTGGTGCTAGGGAGATCAGCTAGAGTGGCTGATTACTTTAGGAGGTTATAGGACTTAAACAAGAAATCAGTTTTTAAGGACTATTTTCTATGTCTGTAAAGAAAGCAACAACCTCGTGTATTACTAAATATTTATTCAAAATAAGATTCATACCTTTATAATACTTTAATCTTCAAAGGTATGAGAGAACAGTTTAATATTGAAATGACTGTTTCAGATATTAAAGCTGTTAACTGTGTGAGATGTGTTTAAATGTCCATTATTTTTTTTGACACTGTAACTGTGGAGACTTTTTTATCAAGCTTAATTTCATTTTCCTCAGCTCATGCTTGACTAAAACAACCAGACACATTTTTCTTCAAAAGTCCCAGTTGAAGCAATTGTAATATCAAGTAACAGAATGGAACTCCGCAGTGGAAGTAATACCAAGTCCTTTGTATTTTTATTTGAACCCCACTGTTCCCATTTCTTTACTTCAGACTCTTTTATCAACATTTTATCATATCTGAACCTGTGGTTGGGTGTCATTCCATGGAGTTTGACAATGGTTTTCCACTGGAACATCTTGACATTAGCTTCCATGTTTTTGCCTCCAGCAGTCAGATCACATCTAGAAAAGATGGCAGAATTAATCAGTTATTATATATTTTTTCCTCCTCCCATCACAGTATGTGCTAGAAAATGCTTCTGTTCTCTTGTTATATTGAAACAGGGATGTGTACATGTGATTTTTCTAACCATTTTTTTTCTTCTTGCCTGCTTCTTTCTTTTTTTTTGTTTCTATGCTTTTATTCTTTAGTTTATTGATTTGCTTGCATATCTTATTATGGTGGTCTGTTTAGTAGAAAGTTAGTGCATTGACCACACTAGCTAAAATTGCTAAATCCCTGTTAGTTTATAACATCCATCCCCAATATTTTGCTACTTCTTATGTTTCTTCATTTCAATAATGATTCTCAGGTTATAGTTGAAAAATATTTTTAAATTTTTTTTATCTGCATTTTTACCAACCTTTATGGGATTTGTTCATTCAACAGTGAGTAGTAACACAAATTTCTGAATAAAATGAAGGTATAAGTTGCAGATTTGTGCAGAATTATAATATACTACTGCAGTCTGCTTCATTGGTAATCCTGTGTTAAATCAGGCTTAAAATTAAATGTCCTTGTTCTATTAGTTATTTCCATGGATTTCTGTTAATTTTTTAATGACATATAAATTTCATCTCTTTTTAAGGTATTATGGCAGGTTCAAACAGATCTGGAGACCTAAAGGATGCTCAGAAATCTATTCCTACTGGAACAATTTTGGCTATTTCAACTACATCTTTTATTTGTATCCTTTATGATGTGACTTTTTTCTAGTCTGCATTCTGTAGTTTAGGTGTGCGTTTTTATTGGAAAGTCATTAGAGTTGCCTGAGTATAAAATGAATTAAATCTAACCTGAAAAGAAGTATTTTATATTTGTATATTTGTAATATAAGTATTATTTATAGAGATCATTAAAATATCTCAAATTCTATTTATAAATTATTTATTTAAAAATATTTATATCCTATATTCTACTAGCTTCAAATTCCAAGATATAGCTGACATTTTTTGTAAAGTGTCATAGATGTTTTTAGCATCATGCTTCAGTTGGCAGATTTTTGTTATATTCAGCGTAAACAAATCTTGAACCAAACAACCAGCAACAGAAATTTTTGTTCCTTCAAAACCTAGAGGACACAAATGCTTACTTATTTATATGAGAAAATACCTGTTCTGTTGTGTGACGTATGAACTGGGTACTTCCAATACTTCACAAATCAACTATGTATCAAATACAGTCATAGAGAATATAAACTAAAAAATTATAGTAGGGAAGAACTAAAAAAACCAAACAAAAACAACTATGAAACACCTTCCCCCCCACTTCATTATCATGAACATTTCCATTTCATACCTACGTGAAAAATGGTGGGTTTTTTCTATGTAATTATCTACAACATAATCTTCCTTCAGTCTCAGTTACAGATCTCTCCTGTATAGTGTTGTTTGGTGCCTGTATAGAAGGTGTGATATTAAGAGATAAGTAAGTCATATTCAACTTCTAATTTTACAGAGAGTATATATAATCATGGGTTATATTAATAGGACTTATTAATTACTCTTCTGTGAAATATCTATGTGATACATATTTCTTTTGCTTTGATTAAAACTGGAGGGAAAGTCTATCTGCTAACCTGAGATGGCTGCAAAAATGAGTCATGTTATCAGACTGTATTCTTTCGAAAAGCAGAAACAGAATCTAAGATAAATGTCTGAAGTGGAGCCAGCCTAATAAAATGTTCTTGATAAAGAAAATTGTAACTAGTATTTGCAGAGCTGATGGGTAGGGATAAGAGGGCTGGTATTACTTAGAGAGAATATGCTCCTGAGGGACAAAGACAAGAAAAAAATTTGTTACACAACAAGAAGAGTTTATGAGACTGCAGTGCACCATCAAACCTGTAACTCCCATTGAATGTATGACTCTCTCTTGCTTTAAAATATCAGTTTTAGATCAAGAGTCATGTCAATTTTCAACCATGTAATTGCCTAATGACATTTAAGGCGCAATATGAAGCATGAAGGGAATAAACATAATGGAGATTAGTATGAACAGAATCTCCAGATTTTGATAAATTTCTCCATTAGGAGAAGCTGAGTTGATTAGGATGAAACTGTTGTCGGATTTCACATTTGCTTTCTTGCTGGTGTCTGGTTCTCTTTTCTGTTGAAGCCTAGGTTTGCTTTTGGTGATAAAGAAGTGGCATTGGGTTATTGTTTGAAGGTTGATGGAGTTGATGCTGAGACAACTTATTTCATTAGTCTAGAAGGAAAACTATAAGTTAAAAGCTGGATTCTATTCAAAACTAGTACAAGAAGCAGCAAGGGATCATGATAGGCTTTTGACAACTGCATCTCACAGCATCCTTATAGGCAAGCTCAAGAAGTGTGGGTCAGATGAGTGGACAGTGTGATGGATTGAGAACTGACTGAATGGCAGATCACGGAGGGGTCATGATCAATGGCACAGAGCCTAGTTGGAGACCTGTCACTAGTGGTGTCCCCCATAGTTCTGTATTGGGCCCAGTATTATTTAACTTGTTCATCAGTGATGTGGTTGAAGGGGTAGAGAGCCTCCTCAGTAAGTTCACTGATGATACAAAACTGGGAGGAGTGGCTGATACTTCAGAGGACTGCGTGGCCCTTGAAAGGGACCCTGACAGGTTGGAGAGATGGGCAGAGAAGAGCCTCTGAAATTCATCAAGACCAAATGCAGGGTCCTGCACCTGAGGAGGAATAACCCCAAGCACCAGTACAGGCTAGGAGCTGACTTCTGGAAGGTGCTTCTGCAGAGAAGGACCTGAGGGTGAACCGTGAACCGGAAGTGTGCCCTTGGCCAACAGAATCCTGGGATGCATTCGGAAGAGCATTGCCAGAAGGTTGAGGGAGGTGATCTATCCCCTCTGCTCAGCTTTGATGTGGTACATCTGGAGTACTGTGTCCATTTCTGGACTCCTCAGTACAAGAGAGACATGGAGCTTTTGGAGCAGGTCCAGTGGAGAGCTACAAAGTTGATCAAGGGACTGGAGCATCTCTCTCATGAGAAAAGGCTGAGTGAGCTGGGCCTGTTCCCCCTTGAAAGAAACAACTGAGAGGGGACCTCACAATGTCTATAAGTATCTAAAGGAGAGGTGCCAAGAAAATGGAGCCAGGCTCTTCTTGTTAGTGCCAAACAATAGGATGAGAGGCAACGGGCAGAAACTGGTGCTCAGGAAGTTCCATATGAATATGAGGAAGAACTTCTTTACTGTGTGGGTGACCATGCACTGAAACAGATTGCCCAGAGAGGTTGTGGAGTCTTCCTCACTGGAAATATTCAAGAACTGTCTGGTCACAATCCTGTGTCATGT